GGGGGGGGGGGGGAGAAAAGACAAGTTAACAGGGACTTTTTCCCCCCAACTCTGTACTGAGGTTGAACAGTTGCCAATTTCTGTGACCAAATAAACTTTCCTTTTTCATTGTTTCGACAAATACCCATGGAAAGCTCACACTGGAATCATGATTTAGCTTCCCGTGTGTGCACATGTGTGTGACTTGTTAAATTTCTTATACATTTACTCACTGGCACCCCAGTGTGTTACTGTGCTCCACCACACAGGCGTCGTTTGTTAAAATTAAGTTTGCGCTGTCAGGAACCTGAAGGAACTTGGATTGGGTTAGAATTTCATCATCTTAGAACAGTTAACACACCAAACAGACTTGAATTAAATGTGAGTCCAAATTCACCATTGTAAAAAATACCGTTGAGATTAACTTGAATTTTAAAATACTTAACGTGGTCACTTCATAAGTTTTTTTTCTGCCTGGTCATCAAATAAGCCTTTGCAAGTAAATGTTAACAGCTTCTAGGTAACGTGTAATAGACGGTTTTTAAGTACACTTGCATTTTGTGGTTTTGACTGGTTTACCTTTTTTTTTAATCCTCACCTGAGGATGTTTTTCCCATTGCTTTTCAGAGGGGAAGGAAAGAGGGAGGGAGGGAGATGTGAGAGAGACACATCCATTGGTTGCCTCTTGAATGCCCCCCTCCCCCACGATCGAGCCTGCAACCGAGGTACATGCCCTTGGCCAGAATTAAGCCAGGGACCCTTCAGTCCGTGGGCAAACGCTCTAACCACTGAGCCAAACTGGCTAGGGCAACCTTTTATTTAAATAACTATTTTGAGATACTTAGGCTCCCAGGAAGTTGTAAAGATGTACAGGGAGAGGCCCTGTGCCCTCCCCAGCCTCCCAGTGTTGTCTCGCATATCAATTGCACAGTAATATGAAACCAGGACGTCAGCATTGGAAAAATGTGTGAACTACACCACACTCTCTTCAGGTGTCACCAGTTTTACCTTCGTGTTACCTGTGTTTACATTTGTGACTGATCATTGCACCTGGAAATCCCTGGTGAACTCCCTTTACAGCCCACCCCAGGCCCATTTGCTCACTCATCCGTCTCCCCCCCTCTAATTGTGCAGTTGGGTCCTTCAGTCCATGGGCTTTTGAGACTGGCCTTTGCACTTGGTGTGATGCCTCTGAGGTCCACCTGCGCAGTTGCAGGTCTGGGCAGACCTAGGTATGTGCCCTGACAAGAAATCGAACCCGAAACCTTTTGTGTACTGGACATGTCAACCAAACTGCTAGGGCTGTGTGGGGTTGTATGTGGACATAGTTTTCCTGTGGGGTAGATGCGCAGGTGCAGTTGCTGGGCTGTCAGTTTTTATAAGGAACTGCCAAGTTGTTTTCCAGAAAATGGTGCTCTCACAGGCCCCGCCCCCACGCCCCTGTGGGGTGCTTCTCGGCACCCTTTAGCTTTCTCTTTTGTCAGTTCTGGTAGGTGTGTGGCGACATCTCCTTGTGGTGCTGACCTGCACTTCCTCATGGCGGTGGTACCTTTCAGACGCAGGCTGTCAGGCGGAGACACCTGGGTCTGGTCACCTCTTCTGTTTCCTAATTGGGTCGTGGTCTTTCACTGTTCTGGGTGTTTGCATACTCTAGACACCAGTCCTTTGTCGGCTGTCTAGTTTGCGAATGCTTTCTCCCACCCGTGGCTTGTTTTTCCCCCTCAAACAGGGCCTTCCACACAGCAAGTTTCTAGTTTGAGTCCAGTTTATCTGTTTTTTACCTTTTATGGACTGTGCTTTTTATATCCCGTATAAACAGTTCTCTTTAGCCCTGAGTCCCAAATAACTTCTGTTTTCTTACAGAAGTTTTGTAGTTTATGATTTATACTAAATATAGTTGATTTTGATCTATTTTGAGTTGATTTTTGTTTGAAGTTTAGGTTGAGGTTTGCTCTCACTTCTCCAGGACTATTTGTGGGAATGGTTATCTTTACTCCCTGAATTGCTGTGCACCTTTGGCAGAAGTCAGCTGAGCACATTTGTGTGGATCTGTCTCTGGGTTCTGTTCCTGGGTCTGTGGATCTGCCTGCCTTCCACCAAATGCCACGGCCTTGGTTGTCCAGTTAGTAAGTCAAGATTTTTTTTTTTTTTTGACTTTTAGAGGAAGGGAGAGGGAGAGGGAGAAAGAGAAACATGATGTGAGAGTGAAACATTGATTGGCTGCCTCCTGCACGCTCCCTACCGGGGATTTTAAAAAATATTCTTATTGATTTCAAAGAGGAAGGGAGAGAGAGAAACATTAATGATGGAAATCATGGATTGGCTGCCTCCTGCACGCCCCCTACTGGGGATTGAGCCCACAACCTGGGCATGTGCTCTGACCCAGAATCAAACCCCGATCACCTGGATCCTAGGTCAACGTTCACCCGCTGAGCCACACCCAGCTGGGCTCCTTTATTTTTATAGTGGTGGTAGCTATTCTAGTGCCTTTACTTTCTGTACAAATTTTAGAGGCTTGTCTATCTCTACAAGATAGTCTTGTCTGGGTTTTATAGAGATTGAGTTCATCCAATGCTTTTAGTTCGGTCTTCTGTTCTTCCTGTCGCACTGGCTAGGACTTCTGTGTTGTGCTCTGTTGGGTGGAAGTTAGCGCAGGCATCAGCCTTGCTCCCAGTGTCAGGAAAGCATTCACCTGTTCAGTAAGTAGGTTGTCATCTCTACGTTCTGCAGATGTTCTTGATCGAGTTCAGGATGTCCTGCCCTATCCTCGCCTGAGGATTTTGATCACAAGTGGGTAGAGTTTTGTGCATCAATTGGTATAATCACGTATTTTCTCTTCTTGCCGTGCTGGTGTGGATTGAGCCAGACTTGCATCCCCAGAACAATCCCGTTGGTTATCAGTTTACCCTTTTTAAACATATGTTGTGTTAGAATCAAGGCTACTTTGTGTAGCACAAAATACTGCAGTAGAAGCTGAGGCAGTGTCGCCTGTGTGCTGAGCTGCAGCAGTTGTGTTCTGGCTCTTGCCCGGGGCCACTGCAGCCGCTGTTGGGAGGTGCTCCTGGTCTCCTCCCTGTCCAGCTGGGAGACCCCTGCATTGCATATTGGGTGCAGGCCGTGGGGTGGGTGGTCGACATTTGTGCATACAAGGGAGCCCTCAGTACTACGTGCATGCTAGGTTTGCGTGACTTCTTAGCTAATAAACAGGAGTTAAACTTGGAGCTCTGGTTATACACACTTACCTCCCCTCAGCCATTTAAATGAGAACATTATGTCGAATGAATTATTCCTGTGAATTTCACCTATAACAGCAAACAGAATACATAAAAATCTGATGGTTATAAAGTTAGTGTTTTGAAAGTGTCAGCATCATGGGTTTAATTCCTTCTTGTCTCAGGGTTAGGGTAACCTCCCAGGTAGTTACTTCCGTACCTTCTTGGAGTGGTAGTGTTTTTCCCATCCTTCTAGGATTACAGCCTCACCACCCCACTCAGGCTGCAGGTTCCTTGTGATGATGACACTTAGGACCAGAGTGTCCCTGAGTGTGCGTGCTGTGGAGACCCACGCAGAGTAGTCTCCATTACTAGTTTATCAGCATTATTCCCGAGCTTCTCCGACCTCAGTGGGACTTTCTTGCGTGTGGGTTTCAGCTTTTGCAGTCTGGTGCAGTGTCCTGCGTGTGTTCCTCAGCGTCTGTTTCCATAGGTCCGGGAACTGGGTCCTCCGGGTCCTCTCTTCTTCCAGGACCCATGGGCCTCCCTGCTCTGTCTACTGTGGTTGTGAGCAGGGGCCCAGGAGTGTTGGCCCAGATGCCAGCTGTGTCCTAGCTATGTGACCCTGGGCTTCAATCTCCTAGATACCATCCCACAGGGCCCTGTGGGGGCAGGGTGCAAGCCCACAGGGGGTGCTGCTTTTGCTGTGTGCTGCTGCTCAGCCGCCCTAGTCTAGGGTGAGGTCGCCTGTTTCCGGTCCCTGCTCCTGGTTCTTGCTCAGAAGGAGGGGAGGGGAGGGGAGCCCAGAAGTGAGGGCCCGGCCTGCCCTGGCATCTCTACCTGTTGAGTGGAAAGTAAACCTCTGCCATACTAGCTGGTTTGGCTCACTGGTTAAAGTGTCAGCCTGTGGGCTGAAGGGTCCTGGGTTCGATTCCAGTCAAGGGTACATACCTCCGTTGCAGGCTTGATTTCTGGGCTGTTTGGGCACATGCGGGAGGCAACCAATCGATGTGTCTGTTTCTGAAAAGCAGTGGAAAACTCAGGTGAGGGTTAAAAAATATAGGACTAGAAAGTAAACATCTCTTCTGTTTGCCCTGTTTCTATCACAGATGCTTTTCAAATGATTCATCAACTTTTCCTTCATGGACTCTCTTCTCAGACGTCATGGGTCCCAGTGTTCGTAATTGTTTCCTTTCTGAAGCCTGCGGGGCCAGTACAGAGCTCGCAGCACTGCCCGAGGCCTGGCCTCCCTGAACCGCAGGTCTGAGACTCAATTGTTGTCCTACTTGTGCCCTCACGTTAGTAGGGTAGGGCAGCCTCAAGGCCTCTGGGTGACAGCCCATAACTCATTTTTAAGTCTGTCTCCTTGGTGTGTGCCCACGTGGGAGAGCTGGCTCTCCTGGGTGCTGGCTGCCTGAGACCGTGGGAGGACTGGGTGGGTTAACTGCAGGGAGGCATCAGGGCCAATGCTCGGGGAAGGTGGCTGCTGTGTACTTTGAACAGTTTGTGTAATAAGGAAGTAAACGGATCTATCTGGTTTCATGCACCAAGCCGGTTTGTCCTGGTGCCTGTCCAACATTGGCTATCGCTTTGGCCCCTCCCTGGCCGGTGGCCTGCCCTCCCTGCCAGTCCTGCATTTTGACTTCACACTCTGGCTTCCTCCCAGGCTCCTTTCCTGTCCCCTTCCTTTTGGCTCCTAAGTGGGGGTGTGCGCCAGGTTCAGTTCCTGAGTCTCCCCACCCGCACCACGCACTTCGCCGGTTCTCTTGCGTTCAGCCTTTCTAGTCGGGTGTCAGGTGGTGTCTGACTGTGGCTCTGATTGCACTTCCCCGGTGGCCGCTGGTGTTGGGCTGCTTTCCATCCAGGGTTCATCTTTGGGGAAGTTGCCAGAAGTTGGGGTCTTTACCTGTTTTTTAATAGGCCTGCTTGTTTTCTTACCGAGTTTTGAAAGTTCTTTACATATTCTGGGCGCAAGTCCTTTGTCACGTGCACGTTTAGCAAACATCTGTCATCTGCCGGTCGTACTTCCATTTTATAACAGTGAAGGGTAAAAGACTTAAACTGCAATGAAGCTCAGTTTCTTTTAGAGTTTGTGCTTTGGCAAAGGTTTTCCTATTTAAAAACCTTTGGCCACAGGTTTTCTCCAGTGTTTTCTTCTAGGAGTTGGTGGTTTTGACTCGGGTTCCTGCCTGCCTATGGTGTGAGGCCGCTCCATACTTCCCGACATGGCTTTCACGTTGCCCCGATGGTTCCAGAGAGGACAATCCTCTCCCATTGTCCCCTCGCACCTCTGTGGAAATCCATTGGCCACCTCTGTGGGTCTGTGTGTCCGTCTTGGGTCAGTGCCACACTCTGCTCACTGCCGCTGGACAACAGTGACAGCTTCAGGCGGTCAGTTCTCCAGCTCCCTCTTCCCTCAGGCTCAGCTATTCTGGGTTCTTTGTTTCCACAGGGCCTTTAGGTCAGCTTGTCATTCCCTGCGGAAAGTCTGCTGAGGTCCAGTGTGCTGGACTTAGGTGGAATCTAGATAAGTGTAGGGAGAACTGAGATCTCAAGTGTCCTGCCCTTGGACTGAACACCAGTGCCTTTCCGTTTACTTGTCTTCTCTGACTTCTGCCAGCAACCTTTTGTCAGCATAGATTTTGGAACTTTTTATTGAAGCGTAACCGACAGACAACATTCTGTGAGTCCCAGGAGTGCCATACTTCAGGTAATTTGTGTATGTTCGTCACCTCACGTAGTCACAGGTGTTTGTTTTCTTGCGATAAGAACTTCAAATATGCGACAGTGTTAACCACAGTCCCCGCGCTGTGCGCTGCTGGCCCAGCCCGGGACCGACCTGTCTTAGCTGGAAGCAGGTCTCACGCCTCCTTTGTCAACTGCTGTATCCCTACGTGTTTTGTATTTTAATGCTGCTGACAGTGGTGTTTTTAAACTTCATTTGCTTACTGTTTGTTGCTGGTACGGAAACACCATTGGTCTATGTGTATCAAATTTGTCTCCTGCAACCTTGCTAACACTCATCTGTTGGTTGTAGTCACATTTCTGCATAGAAGATCGTGTCACCTGCGCGTGCACTTTGGCCTGTCCTACTGTGTCTCGTTTCATTTTCTTGCCTTTTGCATGTCCTCCTGCTGTGAGCCCCCAGGACCATGCTTTTGTAGGTGCAGGTTTTCATCAGCGCTTCATCCGTTTTGATGAAACCTCTGTTTCTCCAGCTTGGGAGGGTGTTGCCCCACTGGGGCAGTGGTGGTCTTCGGGGTTCTGGAACACCTCATGCCTCTGGATCTGGGGGGCTCCTCAGGTGACTGAGGTGCATCCAGGGACCCCGTCACATTTGACCTTACTGTGGCGGCGAGGCTTGTCTGGAGCCCTAAATGTCCCCTCCCTCCTCTACACTCCATGTTCACCTCCCCCTAGGGCAGCTTGGCCTCTGGAGGACTCTGGAGGCTGTGTCTGTGAGAACACCGTGTGTCCTCTTGTTCGTGGGACGTGGCTATGTGGCAGGTCACTTGCTGACCCCCCGGTGCCCTGTGGGGTTTTCCTCACCAAGGGGCTTGTCCTCTTCTGCTCCCCTGTTGGTTTCCTGAGAAGGACCCTTTCGGGGTCACTGCCCTGGCACTGTGGGAGGTCAGTGTGTGTTTTCTCTCATCGGTTGGGAATTTTCTTAGAAAATTGCTTTCTGATCCAAGTTTTCCAGTTAGCATGTTTCTTCTTTTAATCCCTCGGCGGGAACTGGTCTGTTCCTCCATTTTTCTGTGTATTGATTTCTGCCTCCCTCTTTACCACCTCTTCTGCCCTCATGAGGCTTATTTTACCCCTCTCCTAGCTTTCCTGAGTCTGTCTTAGCTCATTACTATTCCTTTTCAGGCATTGCAGCAGCCAGCAGGGTGGCACGGGCTTCGGTTTCCTGTTGACACTGTTCCTTTCTTTCTCTGGAACGTGGCGTCTTGTCCACTCTGAGTACTAACTGGGTTAGAAGGCAGGCCCAGTGTTCCCAGAGGGTTTTTGTTTCTGCTCTGGTCCCTGGTCTTACTGTATTGCGGTTGGAAGATTAGGTTCTCTACCTTCACTCATTTTTGGAAATTGAAGCTTTCTTTGCAGTTTACACCAGTTTGGGTGAATTTTTTTGGCTCTCAATGGAAACAGCAGGTTCTGCTTGCAGGGCGTGGAGTCCAGTGTGTACCTGCCGCTGCTTTGGTTAGTTATATTTATTCAGCTCTTCTGGACTGAGAGGCACTTAAAACTGCACCTGATTGTTTCGATTAACCGCTGCACCTGCCTAACTTGTGAGAGAAAGGCCACCACTCGAGCTTGGTGGGTTTTCTTTGTGTTTTAGCTCCTCCTAGACTCATTAAAACTACAGGCAGGTGCTTGAGCTCTTAAGTGTCTTTGTGTGGAAACAGGCTGTTTTCAGAGCCTTCTCCCCAATGGAGCAGGTGTGTCTCTGTGGACAGATGTGACTTTATGCATATTCACTTACTTGCTTTACTTTATTAAATTAAGGGATCAGTGTTGTGACCGAAGCCCTGGTTCATCAGTGATGGAGATGGAGCCAGAGAAAGTCAACATGAGGAGGGGGCTGAGCGCAGACGCGTCCGCCTACCGCTGTGCTGCGTGTCATGGGGATGAGGACCTGGTGCTGGGCCACCCCATCCGGGGCCGGACCAAGTCCCGCAGCCTGTCTGCCTCTCCTGCCCTGGCGAGCACCAAGGAGTTCAGGTATGAGGGCTCTCTCGGGGCTGTTGGTCCCTGCAGGAGGCTGTGGGCAGGCAGGCATGTCTTCTCTTACACATGCACATGCGTGTGTGGCGCTGCCCCAGCTCCTTCCACATGTGGACGTGGAGGTGTGTGGCCGCAGCTCTGAACCCTGCTGGGGCTGCAGGCAGCCCCAGGGTGCTTGGGCAAGTGTCCCCAGCCCCAGCCCGGCTGCGCTGCTCTTGCGTAAAACCTTGAGTAACAGCGCATAAACCTTGAGTAACAGCGTTCAGAGCCCGTGTGACCTGCTAGTGAGAGCACAGCGATGAACACCTGCCGACTCACTCTGGTTCCTGGAACAGTGACCACCCAGGGCTCCAGGGGAAGCTGCTAGAGCTGCCTGGCCTCTGAAGCCAGTTCACTTCTGCCAGGCAGGGGCTCCTGGGTGTGTCGCATGGTGGTGTCAGGTGAGGTGAAAGAGCCTACACCCTTCACTGTGTGCAGTGTGGGGACAGGTGCTGGCTTGGCAGTTTCTCCCAGTGGTGCCATCCTCCTGGGTCTCGTCAACTCTCTGCATCCAGGCGACAAGGTTCAGTGTGGCTCCCACAGCAGATTTTGGGTTTGGTTCTGGGGTTTCTACTGCAGAGGACAGGAACCTGGCGTGCTGGCAGCGGTCCAGGTACCTCTGCCTGTGGAGTCAGCGAGGGAGGAGGGAGCTGTCCTGTCGCAGAAATATCAGTTTAGACAAACCCCAGATCCAAGATTTGCCCCAAGGCCCGGGTGTGGCTTCCTGCCGGCCCTCAAGGACACTGAGGCTCAGCCTTTAACAGACACTGGGGACCCTCAGGGCCTCAGGGAGGGTGCAGAGTCTGCTGTATGTGTGTTGGGTTTGAAGATTCCGTGGAACATGAGATAGCAGTTAAAGCAAGTTTGCCAGCTCCCGGCGGCTGTCCTTGTGGCAGTTTTCTTTAGTGCAGAAAGGGCCTCTGGTTGTTGGAGGCTGGTGATATGTGTGGGGGTAACGCATCCTTCTGCCCTGCCCTGTTATTTGTCGTCCTTGCTGCCCTGGCAGGGGCTGGCACTAGACCTCCAAGGACAGGAGAGGAGGGCAACCGAGGGCGTCCCCAGGACATGCTGGCCACAGTGCTTTTTGTGTAGGTGATTTGATTGTGACTAAGTCACTTTCCAGTTATTGGAAAGTTGGGCCACTCAAGTAGCATCTTCTCTATTGACCATACAGCTCGGAGTGGGTGTCTGTTAGAACTTACTTAATCCAGGTTTACCTGGGGAGGGTTCTGAGACCCTGATTCCCAGGGGCAGACCTGACGAGGGTCCTTAGCCAGACTTGCTGGGAAGCCCTGCACGAATTCAGATTCCAAGCCTGTCCCTAAGGTCATGTCCCCTGTTCTGCGGTGGGTCCTTAAGGATTGTCTAGGTGTGTGAGTGGCTCTAATTGCTGTTGCTATGTGGACAGTGCGTGGCACTCAAGTTTGCTCTGCACACCAGGGCGGCCTCTGCTGGACCACACTGGACAAACGACGTCATTTGGAGGAAACATTTCTGAGTCTGACCGGTCCGCACTGTCTGCATGTGTATCACCTGCTATCTGTCTCTCCACAGGAGGACCCGCTCTCTGCACGGGCCCTGCCCAGTGACCACTTTTGGACCAAAGGCCTGCATGTTGCAGAACCCCCAGACCATCATGTGAGTGCACGGGGGATCTCCCTGCCAGGACGGGGCGGGGCGGGGGGGGCGCTCTGTTGTGGAAGGTTCTGGTGTGCAGAGTAAGTCGCTTAAGTGCAGGCTCCAGTGCCTTTGAGAACATGGGTGGGGTGTGTGCCCAGGTATGTTTTTGTGTGCTTGCTTTTTCCTCTAGTAAAAACTCCAGGAGGAAAAAGGCCGTGTTTCTTTCATACTCACATGTTTGATGGGTCAAATGTGTTTCTTCTTTAAGTCTTAAAATGTGAGACATTGGTTTTATTTTTTTAAATATCTTTATTGATGTCAGAGAGAGGAAAGGAGAGGGAGGGAGAAAGAGAAATATCAATGATGAGAGTCATTGATCAGCTGCTTCCTGCACGCCCCTGATTGGGGATTGAGCCCGCAACCCTGGGCATGTGCCCTGACTGGGAATCGAACTCCGATCGCCTCAACCACTGAGCCACGCCCGGCTGGGCAACATTGGCTTTTTTAAAGTCTGAGTGTACTTGTTGGAGATGGACCCCACCTCGCAGGTGCTGCTTTTACACTATCTGCCTTTGGCAGCAGCCTGAAAGGAGCTTGGCCTGGGTTGCCCTGAGTGGCCGGCTGGTGCCCCAGTGAGACACTATTTAAATACTAAGCATTTATGCCCATCAGAGTGGCTCAGCTGGTTGAGCATCACCCTGTGCTCTGTCCGAAAGGTTGCAGGTTTGATCCCCAGTCAGGGCACTTAAGGAAGGTGCCCCATCAACATTTCTCTCACCTTGAAATCCATCTCCCTCTCCCCCTCCCCCTTTCCCTCCCTCCCTCTCTCTCTCTTTCTTTTTCTCTCTCCCTCTTCCTGCCTCTAAGCATGTCCTCGGGTGAGGATTGAAATAAATGAACATCTAGCAGTTTGGGCGATTTCACTGGACTTGGGTAACTCGGACTCAGTCCAGCCTCTCACCTGGTGTTTGGTGGCCCTGGGGAGGAAGCTCTGTTAGTGTGCTCTGTGCGGTGACCTGCCTGTGTCAGCTTCTTATGGAAACACTGACATGACTTTTTGATACTGGTGCGCTCGACAGTAAAAAAAAAAAAATCAGAATTCCATCTCAGCCTGCTACCTGTGGTGAGCTCAGCCCCCATCCGGGCTGCAGGGGAGGGGCCACCCGCTCTTGTGCTTTTTTTTTTTTTTTTTTTTTTTTTTTTTGTTTTCAGAGAGAGGAAAGG